CCCCGCCCCCCCCCCCCCCAATTCTGCACTAAAATTGAGTTCAACCTTCTTTTTATCCTGGGTCTTTCCCCCATTCTGCATTACATGACTTCCCTTCAATGGTCAGCCTGGTTTCAGTCCTCTGTTGCCCAGGGGTTATTTGGATGCTGTTTTGCCCTGGACTTAAATCACCTTAACTCGAACACTGAGAAAGTCTGGAGTGGCAGGCAAATGCAGACTTTCTTCCCCACTGCATCTAAAATAAAGTGCATGGTAGAGCATCCACAACCATCCCAACATTCATAAACCATCCAAAACCGGACCTATCATTCAAGAATATCTATCTCTAGATTAGAGTGGTTGAGAGAGGCAAGTGTGGTATGATTGGTGGTTGACAGAGAGGGGGAGGGGTTTTGGAAGTGAATCTGGTTGGATGAGTATGTAGTTGACAGTTGATGTAGACAGGCAGTTCTGTGTTGAAGCAGTTAGAAGCTGACAGCTGCGGTTGTTCAGTGAGAAAGAGAAAGAGAGCTGAAAGCTGAGTGTATAGGAAAGAGTAAAGTAAAGTTTAAGTGGAAAAAAGTTAAAGGAAGGTCTGAGTGTCATAACAAACTGGAGTGAAACAGTGAACATATATGGCATTAAGATAAATAAAGGTTACAAAGTTACATGAAAAGATCCCTGTCAGTGAGGGAAAAGATTGAATGTGATACCAAAGCAATTGTTCATCATTTACACATTACTAGTTACATTGTACCACCCTCTTATTTAGTATTTATTTCAATAAATCTTCTTTTATTCAAGTTCAAAAAAGAAAAAAGAATATCTATCTGATTTTGCAAGTAGGCATACAGACAAAGTTCACAACCCAGAGCACAGAATCTACACGCCATCAGAGGAAAGAAGAAGCCTGCAGAAGGAATGCAGCCACTCCCACAAAACCCAACAGTCTTCATCATAGAACAAAGTTCAGTCCCAAATTGGTCTGTATTTCCGTGTTCTATCTCTGAAATATATTTTGTGATTGTGCACGGTTGGCATGGTGACCAAGAAGTCCTATCAATCAACACACACCATGGGCATGATTGAGTGTCCACATCTGTCCCACCCTTCAGGAATCTCTCTCCGACTGCTAATGTTGCTTTGGCATCTTCCCCTGATGCAAGAGATCTTACATTGTGGGAAAGTGGCAACATGATTTATTTGCACATTTATTTGGAATTTTTTAATGCCGCCTGTCCAGGAACCTGCCCTAGGCAGCTTACAAAATAAAAATAATGAAAAACTAATTAAAAGATATTAATTAAAAGTCCCGCATTAAAAACCCAGCCATGTTCACTTTAGTGAAAAATATCCTTAGGATCTAACCCTGCGCCGGTCCTCCAACAGGAGCTGTCCAACTTCTCTGGCTCTCAGCTGGCAGGAAAGCAGGCCTTCTCTGCCACAGAAAATTCTCTCTTTGAGGCATTTCATATCCCACTTCAAGATTCTTCCCTTCTTCTCTGGGGGCACTCCTGTCCCCCACAGTTTGAATAGTTGGTGATGGAAAATGCCATCAAGACTCAATCAATTTATGGCGACCTCATTGGGTTTTCAAGGCAAGAGATGTTCAGAGGTGGTTATCCATTGCCTGCCTCTGGATAACGTCCCTGGCTTTCCTTGGTGGTCTCCCATCCAAGTCCTAACCAGGGCCAACCCTGCTTAGCTTCAGAGATCTGGCAAGATCAGGCTAGCCTGGACCATCCAGGTCAAGGCAAGAGACAAACAGAGGTGGTTTGCCATTGCCTGCCTCTGTGTAGCAACTCTGGACCTCCTTGGAGGTTTCCTATCCAAGTACTATCCAGGGCTGACCCTGCTTAGGATCTGAGATCTGATGAGACTGTGCTGGCCTGGGCCATCCAGGTCAAGGGAAGAGATAATCAGAGGTGGTTTGCCATTGCCTGCCTCTGTGTAGCAACCCTCAGCTTCCTCAATGGTCTCCCATCCAGGCCCATAGCCAGGATTGTGAGGCTTGTGGGGAAAAACTTTTTCTGGTGGGGCTAAAGTTCTCAGTGCAAAAAGAAAAAAAACATTTTTCCCATAGGAAGCTGTTACCAGGAAAGATCTCTAAATTGCAACCTGTCGACCACTTTAGATGACAGTTCTCAGCTACTGCAAGTTAATCACTTCTGCAAGGCTAAGCAACAATTCTGATAACAAGCCAGCAGGTGGGGATGATGACTTCTATCGTCAAGAAAGCTAACACTTAGGCAGAAAAACTCTCTTAAAGGAAACCAGTTTCTTGACACAGAGTTCAAAGGGATCCTAGAGGTCACCTACTCCAACCCTCTTGCTCAGTGCGGGAATAAGTCAACTACGGCGCCCCACTCTGCTTAAAGGAGTGCATGCCTTTAAAAAAAT